TCACACCGCTATTGCTCGGTAGGGGCGAAGACAGATTGCCTGGCATCTTTTCTTCTGGTTGGGGTAGGACGGCAATCCTATATCTACTGGAAGAGACTCAGGCATTTCTCAATCGGGCGATACAGGGGGTTTTCTTAGCCCCTGCCAGTTCTCGACATCTGATGGATTAATTAGCTTACCTTAGCCAGATAAGCATCGGACGGCTGGTAAGCATTCTTATTTCTTATTTCTTTTCACAATATTACCCATGGAAAAGCTGTACTTGTTTATAATTGACTTAGAAGAAAGAGAAAGCCCTCTCAAAGTTTTTAAAGCGGCAACTGATATACAAGAGAATGTGAAGACTCTTATCTGAATTGAAGCCGAAGAGAAAGATTTTTCTTCTAATCTCTCTAAGGGCAAAAGCAAAGTGAATAATTGCTATGGAACTAAATCAAAGGATAGAAGATTAGAAGTTGAAGCGTACACTTTGGATGCCTGTTTGGACTTCGGCCAAGGCTAATTGGACACTAGCCAGGAAAGTTTTTGTTAGGTGGTGTTTCCTCTCTACTGTGATGACTTTCTGGTGAGCATTTTTACTTTCTTTTACTTACTTTCTTTTTGCAATATTACCTGTGGAAAAATTATATCTGTTGATAACTGGCATAAAGAAGAAAGAAAAAGCCCCTAATTTGCCGGTGGCCATTTTTTTTGGCCAGCTTCCAATCTTCCTGGGTCTGCCTGGGTTTGCCAGCTTATTGCAAGCTACTTTCTTCTTCTCTCTCTCTCTCTCTCTTTTCTCTCTCTCTCTTTTCCCCTCCTTTTTCTTTTGGTATATTGAAATTTCTTTGGTGAACAGCTTCCATCATGAGGAAGACTCAGCCCTCTTCGGCACCTTCCTCAGTGGGTCAGAGTCCAATTCATCAGCCTAAGACAGAAGACGTTGCAAAAAGCTTAATGGCGACACAGGCGGCTTTAACAACTTTGCAAGTATCTCAAGAGGCAATGTCAATACTGCTGGAAAGCTTATCAAATGAGCAAAAAGAGCGACTTGACAAATTGGATAACTCTATTAGAGAGGTGACAACTCAATTATCTGATGTCTGAGTTAAAGCAGAACGGAATACACAAAAATACAAGTATGTGAAAAATTGGAGACAGTAGAGACAGACATATATTTAATTAAGCAAACAAATAAGTCAACATGGGACTCAATGGCTGCATTAGAGATGGAGAAGGCATCTTATTATCTAAGATTTCAGAATATACCTGAAGAGAAAAATGAGGACCTCCGAGAGATCATAACTGTCATGTTGGCGGAGCTTTTAGAAATCGAGAACGAAGTCATGGGTATGGGAATTGATCTTGTTTTTAGGGTCAACTCCTCTTATACCAGAAAAAATAAACTTCCGAGAGAAGTCCATGTCAAATTTGCTCTAAGGTCTATAAGAGATAATGTTTTGAAGGCCGTATGGGAGAAGCCGTTAAAGAGAGATGATCATCAGGAGGTGACGGTCCTGAAACAAATTCCATGGAGGATTAGAGAGGGAAGAAAGAAATATCGATTCCTTACTACAAAAGTGATCAAGAAAGAGATTATCTTTAAGTGGCTAACATAAGCAAATGAAATTGGCTAAACAGAATTTTTTTGAAAATGCTAATAAACTGGGGAGATGGCTAGCATATAAAGTAAAAAAAGAAAGAGAGAAGAAATTGATTTTGAAACTGAAAGATGGAGAAGGACGACTACAGGTACAAAATACACAAATTAAGAAAATAGCTGAAGATTTTTTTGCAAGGTTATACCGGAAGGAGGAGTTTTCTATCGAGAAGGTAAAACAATACATTTGAAAGGGAGATTTACCAAAATTACCAGAAAAGTATCAAAAAATATTGAATCAAGAAGTAACAACTATGGAAATAACAGAGGCAATCATGTGACAAAGAACGATAAAACCCCTGGTCCGGATGGGCTACCAGCTCAATTTTACAAATCTTTTGAGGGAATTTTTGCTACCTTTCTCAAAGACATATGTAACGAAGCACTGTTAACTGCTAAAATACCAGATACCTGGACAGAGGGAAGTATCACAGAAGATATGGGCTTAACACAGATTCAAAATTACAGACCCATATCATTATTAAATGTGGACTATAAAATTTTTGCCTCTATATTGGCAGAAAGGTTGAAGAAGTTTTTAATAGACTTTATTCATCCAGACCAAAATGGTTTTCTGCCTAAAAGACAAATGAAGAACAATCTGAGGGCTATTTTGGATATCCTAGAATACTACGAGACACACACAGAAAAATCAATGGCTCTACTGTTTTTGGATGCCCAGAAAGCCTTTGATAATGTTAATTGGCAATTCATGATGCAACAGATGGCTCAGATGGAGTTTGGGAAGAAATTCATGAATGCGATATCAAGCATCTATCAAAGACAATCGGCCAGGATTTTAATTAATGGAGAACGTACAAGGGCTATAGAGATACAAAAGGGTACAAGGCAGGGATGCCCGCTGTCACCGCTGCTGTTCATCCTGACTTCAGAGGTCTTGAATAGAAATATTAGGGATGACGAGGACATTAAAGGTACTAAAATTAGGGATGAAAAGTATAAATTGCAAGCATTCACAGATAATTTGGTTTTTAAAATAGAGGAACCTTTTGTAACAATCCCTAAACTTTTACAACGGATTGAAGAATATGGTGAGGTTACAGAGATGAAAATAAATAAGGAAAAAATGAAACTTTTAGTTAAAAATTTTATGCAAGATCAGAAAAAATGACTCCAAGAACAAGTGGACTTGCAGATTGTCAAAAAGGTTAAATACTTGGGAATCGATCTTACAGCTAAATGCACAACTTTGAAAGAAGACAATTACGATAAATTATTGAAAGATATTAAAGGTGATCTGGAAGGATGGGCCAATTTACAACTGTCTTTGATGGGAGGAATTGCACTGGTTAAAAGGAATATACTGCCAAAACTTTTGTTTTTGTTCCACATGATTCCCGTAAAAATTGATAAAATTTTTTTTGAGGATTTAAATTTTCAAATTTCGAGATGTATTTGGAGAAAAAAGAAAGCAAGGATTAAACTGAAAATGCTTCAGGAAACCAAAAAGAATGGGGGTTTTGGTTTACCGGATTGGATGTTGTACTATCAAGCGTCTATTTTAACTTGGCTAAAAGAATGGATAACCTTGCGAAATAAGAGAATTTTGTATCTTGAAGGACATGATTTGCAAGTGGGTTGGCATGCTTATATGTGGTACGAGAAGGTTAAGTCTCATGGGACTTTTTTAAGTCACTTTATCAGAAGATCATTAATGTCAGTGTGGGAAAAGTTAAAGTCAAAATTGTATAACAAGTTACCAAGATGGCTTTCACCTATGGAAGCTTTTGTGTATCCAAATGTATTGAATTTTGAAGGGATCATAAGATATGATGATATTTTGGATAAGGATGGAGGCCTGAACCTAGATCAAGAAATACAAGAACAGGGACTCAATATCTCTTGGTGGTATAAGGTGCAGATGCAATCAAGATATGCTAAAGATTGTAAAATTGGGGTTTTATAAAGACCTAACAGCCTTTGATCAAGTGATGTTAAAAACAGATGAGAAAATGATTAAAAGAATTTATGAGTTCCTACTTGACAGGAAAATGGAGGGGGAACAGGTTAAGGAAACTATGATAACATGGGCACAACATTTTGGATATAATATTGAATTAGAAAAGTGGCAAAAGTTATGGGAGAGAAATATTAAGGTAACTTTAGCAACTTCGTATAAAGAGAATTTATATAAAATGTTTTATAGATGGTATTTGTCACCAAGTCGATTAGCTAAGATGTTTCCAAATATGTCAAACGGATGTTGGAAGTGTAAACATGATGTGGGTACTGTTTACCATATGTGGTGGACCTGTGAATATGTGAAAAAGTATTGGATTAAAATACATAAATGGCTTGAGGAAATGCTACAAAAACCCTTAGCTTTTAAACCTGAAATTTTCTTGTTAGGTGTTGTACCGGAAAATATTAGCAAACAAGAAATGTATTTGATGCTACATTTAATCACAGCGGCGAGGATTGTGCTTGCTCAATACTGGAAGAGTGAGGAATTACCCACTGAGGAACTAATTTTAAAAAAGATTCTGGACTGTGCAGAAATGGACAGATTGACTCTATTACTGAAGGAGAAAGAAGATATTGACTTCTATCAAACTTGGGACCTTTTTTATGATTGGCTGGAGAAATGGGACTTGGCTTAGATTTAAAGATGTCTTTAAATTTTTATAAATCGATTTGAATATGATTATAGAATGTTTAAAAGATATGTTATAGGGGGCTGACCCAGTACGTCCAATGTATTTGATGATTGATTTTTTTTTTAGTTTTTAGTTTAAAATCTTAATAAAAAATGTGCAAAAAAAAAAGGGGGGGGGGAAGCAGGATATGAAGGCAGAGATTTAGGGCTCCGGCTCCCATGGGCCCTGCTCCAGCTTGGTTGTTGCTTCTGTTGGGAAACTGCAGATACTTTGCAGACCAACTGACAATCACCCAGGAAGTCCTGACCTGCCTTCTACCCGCACCTGCAGTGGGGCATCTGATGCAGGCGATTTGCCCTGCATCACTCCCTTCCCGGGTCCCCCAGTGCGCACGGACAGCATGACTGCCATGGAAACAGGTTAACTTACCACTGTGGAAGGGCCTCTAGAGTTAAAAATGCATGACAATACGCAAGACAGAAGTTGGACATCTTTGCACACATTCAGCTGTCACGTCATCACATCTGTTACTGAGAGCCATGCAATAGATCACATAGTGCCATGGGGAACTTTCATCCCAATGCGTCAATTTTATTAGGAATGTCTGAAAAGCAGGATAAGGATAGACAGGCAGACGGGCAGACAGAGACAGACTCTGCCATGTGAGAGGCTTGGGAGTTCTTTCTAGCCAGCCACTCGGCTGTCATGCAAACATATTTTTAAGAAGCTGGGGACACTAAAGCTTGAGAAAAGCTGGTTTATCCGAGTTCGAGTGGCATCGGGAGCAGGGCGGGAGGTGTACATATTATTAAAACGCAGATTACTAGTGTGCTTCTCTCTGCATTTAAAAGGTTCTTTGTGACTCTGAACTCTCCTTTTATTTCTAAATCAGAAGTCATCACAGGGGCAGGATGGGGGGAACCAAATTTGCAGAATGGAAAGGAAGGCAAAACATCTGGAACTTGCTCCTGCTCCCAGATGTTCCTGGTGGGATTCACTTCAGTGTGTGCAGAGCCCTGCATTCCTCTTACTACGCTGCATACTGAATTTCGGCATGGAAATCATTGGTGAGGAAGGTTGCGACCACACCTTGGAGCTCAGCTTGAAGGCTTGCACTCGACGTGACCAGGGCTGTGATCTGGGCCAGGTCGGTCCAGTCTAAATTCCTAAGAATAGCATAGGTGTCATCATATAGCCGCTGCTGCTCCATAGGAGGTAATTCCAAGAGAATCTGTGGGACCAGTTTAAACTGTCCAGTGGACATGCTGGCTCCGGCCAAACTACCAACAGTACTACCTAGATAGGAAACACAAGGAAGCCTTTAGGAAATGCAGAAGGCTGCCAACTTATACTGAGTCAGACCATGATTCCATCTATCCCAGGACTGCCAGCACTGACTGGCAGCTGTCTTCCAGAGGTGCAAGGAGGATTCTGGAGAAATCCTGGCTGAAGAAGTTGGACATTGAACCTGAAGGGGCAAATTGGGTGTGCTATAGTCCCTAACATTTAATTTTCTCTTAAAATTACAATCAAATTAGTTTCCAGTTAATTTTAAGCCATTTTAACTTTGAATATAACCTGTGTGGGGCTTGTGTTGAGAGGGTCAAAATCACTTGGATCATAGACCAATAAGGAAAGCAGAAGGGAAGAGAGGAATGGAGAGTTTAGCGTTAGGCTGGGCAGCCTGAAGCCTTTGGCTGCTTATTATGTCCCACTGGCAACCTCCTTTCAAAGCATCTGCAAAGGGATCGGCTCAGAGCTGGAGGGGAAAGCCCGGTGCCCCTTCCTGGGTGGTCTGCTGAGTGGGCAGGCAGTGGGAAGGGGAGAGAGAAAGGAAGCCAGGAAGAAAAGAGAAAGAAAAGGCACACGTCCACCTGGATGGTGCCATCCCTTGCAAAGAAGCCCGGAAGGGATGCAGCCTCGGCAGAAAAACAGAGGAAAAATGCGAAGGACATAAGAAACTCCCTGCTGGATCAGACCAAGGGTCCCTCTCTTGCAGCCCACTCAGTGCACAGATGTCCTCGTGCCAGTGTTCCCAGGCCACCAGTGCAACACCTCATAGCTGTGCTTGAGAAATCTGCCGCAGATTCAGCTGAGTTTGACTTCTATGAGTCTGTGGTTTTCGTGGCAGAGCAGCTTTTCCTGTGTGAGGCAAGTTCTACAGACTTGCAGACTGGTTACCTGGCTGGAGTGGAGGTGGATATGCACCTGTATTTGTGCAGTCTGGTATCTGTTAATTGGCACAAGCTCCCATTAATGCAACCAGTGCTGACGCAGAACAGAATGCTGCTTAATCATCCGCTCCCCAAAGCCTTTTGTCAAGAGGTCCGCTATTTTCAAAGGGGGCCTTTCTTTTCCCAAAAAGAGACTCACCGACCGCAATGCTAAGGGGGCCTCCCAACATGCCTCCGAGGAAAGCGCCCACGCCGGCCACAAGTGCCCCTCAGCCCGAATGTTTTACGGCTGCCTTCATGCCCCGCACTTCAGACAGCTGATCGGCATCTTTTCTGCTTCACGCCTTCGGGGTGTGTGAAAGAGAAGACACTGCGGTCAAGAAGCTGCAGAAAACCGCTCCCCTACCATTGGGCCTCAGGAGTGAGGCTGCTTTCCCAGACCACTGCTTGGAGCCCATGAAAGATGATTTAAAGGGCTAGGAAAAAGGCTACCTGAGCGGCTCAGCAGCGACCGGCATTTCTCAGGCTCTTCTCTCTTGAAACTGTCCCCATTCCAAGAATAAGAAGCTTCACAGGCTCACATCTGCATTACAGCTGAGCATGACAGTTAAGAATCAGTGCCTACCTTCCCCCCCTTTTCTCTCCCCCTCCTTCCTTCCTTTTCTGTTACGTCTTTTTTAGATTATAAGAGGTAAAGGGTGGGGGCAAGCTGGTTTTATCGATCTGTAAGCCATTCTGGCAGCCTTTCCAGCTGAAGAGCAGGATGTGAACCTTTCACAAAGGTGTTCAGAGTCTTGGAAAAGATTTTCCAAAAACCCTGGTTCTCCGGAGCACAGTTGGAAAACCACTGCACTGGTGGCTCGTGCTTTGTCTGTGCATAATGAAAATCAGGTGACATTTCTTCGTAAAAATGTTCTTCGCACACTAGCTGGACCTGACATGTGGCACAGTACAGATGTTCTGCTCGAAAGCAAGTTCTGGTGTAGTCATTTGAGTACCTCCCACAGCCAGGTGCCCAGCTCCCATCGATCAAGTTTTCACTGACAAACTGCTTCTTATCTAATGTTTGTTCCTGAGTTGCAAAACGGCCTTGTTTTCTCATAATTGTGGGTGGCAGATAGGAAACTGAACGGTTTCATTCTGGTATAAAGGTACTTTTTGCTTCTGTTTTGCTGAGATACTGCCCCCTTTTTGTCTGAAATCGCCGCACCCCCTTTTCTGCCACCTCACTATAAACGTATTTGATCTGGATGTGGAAGTCATGCATTGTGGTGTCTCCTCCACACGTTTACTCAGAAGTAAGCCCAACTGTGTTCATTGAGGTTTGCATCCACATAAACACAGATGGGGTTAAAGATTTAACAGTTCACCAATGCCACCTTTCTCCATCTATCTGAGGCTAGGCCACCATGTCCCACCTGCCACAGTCAGTGCAGTCCAACGTATTTGTGGGGGACCAGGCTGGGGAAGGTATGTCCACCTGGGCAAGTTACCTGTTCTTTGTCATTGCAAAAGATTTCCACCAGGAAACAGGCAACTCACCACCCTCCCAGCAGCTTTCATGTCTGATATCCATTTCTGCTTTTTAAGAAATAACAAACCCCTCCATCGTCTTTAATCCAAAGCTTAAGGAAGGGTTAATGCTGCAGTCTTATGCCCCCTTAGCTGGAAGTTCAGCCCCACTGAACCCAGAGGGCGTCACCTCTGAGTAGGCTTGCCTAGCCGGCACTGTTGCCGCCAGTCGCCGTATTGACCAGCAGGAAAGTCCCATTGAAATTGCAGGGCCTTATACTGGAAGAAAACCTGTTTGCAGTTGCAGAATCAATACAGTCAATGCCCTGGTATTTAGAGGAGGACATCTAAATAGAAAATCCTGTATTCGTGTCCCTTCAGGGAAGAGGGCCTGCACCCCACAGCTGGCCGGAGCATAGGGTTTGCCTTTTCTCTCTAAAGGTGCCCAGACTGGCATCCTGAGCGGCTGACCTGGTTGAAACCTTCAAGGAGATGGTTGCTTTGGCACTGGACCAGGAGGCACACAAGCAAAGAAGCTCCCAAGGAACTTTTGCTTTCCATTTGACAAAGGGCTGCTGCCGATCACAGCGCATACCACCCCACCTGCCTTCCAGGCTGCCCCCCTCGCCAGTCCTGCCTCGCCTGCCTCGCTTTCGGGCTCCTCTGCAGCCATGCCTGCTTATCTCTCTGCCCGGCTATCTGTCTGTCGCCTCCGGAGGGGAACTTTGTTCCTCCAGCTGCATCACCTCATTGGAGCAAAGGTCTCTTCACTGTCCACAGCTCATAATGCCGCTGTTTCTGCTTTCCAGCCCTCTGCACCCGGGACTCCTCCACCGCCACCCATGGAAAATCTCCATCAGCAAGATGGAAAAAGCAGTGGGAAAACGCGTGGAACATTACAACCCCCATGCCCACCGCCCAGTAAAATTTCATGGATGAAGCAAGTTGGTTGCATATTAAAAGCATGGTCTGGAAATTATCTTTACATTTTGCAGTGATGATTCGGTAGATAATGAAGGCCTATTTAGTCTTTTTCCTTTGATAGAAGGCCAGAGATGAATTCAGCTTTTAAACAATACAAAACGAGTCTCAGCAGTGTGCAATTCATCTGCTTATAACACATCATCCAAAGTCTGTTATTCAAGGGCTATTTTGTTGTTTGAAAGTGGGGTATAAATATATGTAAAAAAAATAATTTGAAGCAAAGACACTGGCAGATCATTGATCAGGCCAAGCCAGAACCCTGCTGTAATCTGAACAGCTCACAAAAGAATTTTTCAATAGCCTTTCACAATACAAGGAGGTAAATTCAGACCAGCACAATTCCAGATAGATTTACAAAGAGGTACCCAAGATGGCATAGCCAAATATTTCCAATACAAGAGATGGTCCTCACCATTCACAGGTTATGATTTTGATGTTGTACAGTTGTCATATTACAGTGATTGGCCTTGCATTTTGGTATGATCTTTATACATATATCTCTGTGCATCTATATATAGATATAGTATAATCCATATTTTACATCTATAGCCTTAAATATTCACTTATCCTGTATATATTTTTCCAGTTTTTCAGCAACATTTGTGGTCCTTGTTCTGACCTTGCTCTTTTTTTAAATTGTGGATCATTTTAATAACCCGTTATAGATTTTTCAGAATAGTGCAAATACTTACACCTTATGTAGGAAAACCACTAGGCTCAGCCCAGTGTCCTTCACAGAGAAGGCCAGATGGATCCGAGTCACCCACTAAGCAGCTAACACAGAACAATTCTGCATCATGTGTAGTTTCACTGCAGATTTCACTAGCCAGGCACCCTCCAGGTGGGTTGAACTTCAACTCCCATAATTCTCAGCCAGCATGCTGGTTGGGAATCATGGGAGTGGCAGTCCAACCCACCTGCAAGTGCCAGGTTGGGGAAATGCACCCATGTTTGGGTGCTGACACATTTATTTCTTTATGTCAGCCTATCTTCATGTCACCAGTACACATGGAACTTTGCCCACTGGACCCCAGCAGCTACTGCAGCAGCAGAAAGGATGCTGGGGACAGAAAGCGGAAGCCCGAAGGCCAGCGCTCTTCAGGCCAGTTGAAGATGCTCCTCCGAGCCCACGTGGGCCTCTAACTGGAGGAATGAGGGCTCAGGGGTGAAATCGTCCACGGACACTTTCTTGTGGCTATTATAAAACCAAGCATCAAGACCGAGTTAAAACAGTCTTCCTTGTCACACGTTACCACAAGGGGAAACCAGATGGGGGAGGAGGCCACTCGGAAAACACACAGCAACCCACGCTGGCACCTAGAAGCCATACTGGATTTCCGCTTTGAGCTCCTTGGTGACATAGTCTTTCAGCACACCGAGCAGCTTCTCCTGGATGGCTCCATTCCCCATGACCAGAGCGATGAGCTGCGCCGTGTCAGTCCAGTCTAAGTTCCGAACGATGGCGTAGGCACTCTCATAAAGCCGCTGCTGCTCCGCGGGGGGCAGTTCCATGATGATCTGAGGGATGGGCTGAAATTGCCCAGTGGTCATCCACGCCCCCATCAAGCCGCCAACAGCACCACCTGGAGGGAAGCAAGAGATGCACCTGACCCAGCCTCCTCACAGAGCAGAATCCCACAATGATGTATTTCATTTATTTATTCAGTCCCATTTCTGTGCCATCCCTTAACCCAGCAGAGACAGGGCATGTGCTAGAACAGTGGATAAGATCAGAGGATTTGGAGTGGGGTGCTGAACTGGGGGGCAACTGTGGCTTGCCTGGCATCCCGGGTCAGCGCTAGGGGGATCCTCAGCTGGCCACACGCCCGTCCCCAAGCCCGACCCCTCTCCCCCGGCTGCTGGCTGTTGGTGGTTTTCTGGCTTCTGTTTCTGGCCACCAGGCTGAAGTTCAGCACTCCTGCTGTTAGGAAGCGCTCGTTTACCTACAGCTATGCCTGGGGGGCCGCCCACAAGCCCTCCGACAAAAGCAGTTGCGCCGGCCACGAGCGCTCCGCGTCCAGAATGCTTCACGGCGGCCTTCATCTTCCGCTCTTCGGACACGTGACAGAGAAGCTGCATCATGTCACTCACACTGATAGGCATCTTGCTTTGGGCCCGCCGCACGGAGTTTTAAAAGGTATGATCCCTTAAACGACAGTGTGGTTTTTTTTTTAAATGAAATGCTTCATAAAGAACTTTATAGTAAACAAATAATATTTATGATAAAGTAAAATGAACAATCTTTTAAAATAAAAATAATAAACATTGGGGTTTTTTAGTCAGCCTTGGAAGAAGGCTAGAACAAATCTGCTAGTTTTAAGCTTGTTAGGAAACTTGCTCTAGAAAAGGAAACACGTTCAGTCCTATCAGCTCCTCCTGAATGTGAATCAATACAGCCAAGACATGGGCCTAACGCTATTTTACTTCTCATTTCAAAAGAGTCAGCTGATCTATATGCTAGAAGCCAAAGATATAAACTCCTCTTCTGGACACTGAAGCATCATCTTAGCATAGCACTAAAGTCAGAAGGGCCTAGAAGGCCACTGAGTACAATTCACTGCTCTGCTTCCAGATGTGATCCCCCCTCCAGCTGCAAGCCCATGCCTTTTCAGCTTAGCCAAGTTGACTCAACATGCTGGCTTAAGGGAGAGCTATGCAGGCAGGCTCCTTCAGGGGTACCATCTTGCCCTTCAACTCATGCAGCCACATCTACTGGGCTAGCCAGAGACCTCAGGACTGCAGGATTGAAAAATGTGAGCATCTTTGGACATGTTCGAGTGTGGTGAGCAAGCAGTTCAACCTCTATTTCCTCCTTCGACTCCTGCCTGTCTCCCTTTCTGATGTAACAGCCCTATGACTTCTCAAAGCCCTCACTAGCATGCCCAACAGCCAGGGAGTTGGGAGAGCTAGTCCCGGACATCTGGAGGACAGGCTATCTTCCTCAAGATTCAGAGCCCCGTGCTGGCTCCCAGGACACTGATTAGACGGAGCTCCTTCTCAAAAGTCACCATGCAGCACACCGAAGACACAGTGCTTCACCAACACCTCAAAGTGACCACCTGGCACAGGTGCTTCTTTGCCGGCCACGCCAGCACCCCTCTGTGATTCCCCTCAAAATTAAGAGTCCTCCAGCTGCCCCTGCTTGGTTTTTGTTGGATGTGAATGGTCCTCTTACTCCTTCCCAACGGTGCGGGTGACACACACGTGAAAAATTCTACAGTCTAGCCTGAGTCATGGTACCTACCCACCTGTCAGGTCACCTCACAGGCTGCCCAGCCAAGCAGTTTCTCCAGTTGGGACACGGCATGCAATATGTTTGGCTGCCTTTGGAAAGCAACCCGGAGGCCAAATGGGGGCACTGCGAGAAGAACAGGCTGCGAAGCTTCTAGAAAAGCAGAGGAAAGGGACAGATGACCAAGCTGGTAAAATAGAGGGCAAAAGGGAAATTCCAATCCACAGTAATGCAGTGCTTCACACAGTAAGAGCCCAAGGACGTTCCTCGGGCATGTTTACACAAAGAGTCGTATTAGTCCCCTGCAGGATTTACCTCTGGGTAAACATGCCTAAGACTGCTCTCCAACCAGAGACTCCCAGCAGTGCGGCCGGCCGACTGCGCTCTGGGCCAAGTCCAGGGCCCTGAAGACCCCGCCCTGCCCTGCTCGCCCGAGGAAGGGCAGGCAGCGAGGCCTGGGTTGGACTTGGCTATGCGCTGGTTAGCGCTTCCATGTGAGTTATCCTGCCCTGGTGCGTATTCCCAAGTTCACGTGTTGGGAACTGAACAGCACACGTAGCATCTACTGTATTTCTGGCATCAGCAAGGCGCGACGCGTTCGGGGAGTTTGCAATACGCAGCCAAAGGGCACCGGGCACTTCTTTGCCCTTGTCTTGACCAGGGTCGGCCAACGGGTCCGCGGCCACCAAAAGCCCCCGCACCCGCAAACGGCGCAATCGGGGCTCGCCCGTTACCTCGCCGGCTCCCCGCTCCGGGAATGCGGCGCCTGTCCCAGCCGCAGCCCCCTCCTCAGCGCGGGGCAGCCCCCTCCGCGGACGGGCCGCAACCCGGCCGAGCGGCTCCGGGCCGGGGGCGCGCATCTCGCCAGAGCCGGCCTCCGCGGCGGGCGGGCGGCGCCTTCCCTCCCACTTGGGGCGGCCGCGCCACGCCGGCTAGGCCGCAGGCTCCCCGCGCGCCGGCGCCGCGGCCGGGCGCTCGCTTGCTCGGGGCGCGGAGGGGCGCGTCGGCAGCCGGGCCGGGCCGGGCGCTCGCTCCTTCCCTGCCGGCAGCGGGAGGACGGGGCGCGCCCGCTCCGCCCGCCCGCCCGAGCAGAACCGTTCGGCTCCCCGGCGGGCACCTGCGCCGTTAGGGCTGCGCCAGAGGCAGGGGAGCCTCCTGGCCTCACCTCCCGGGTCGCTGGAAGACGCAGCCAGGCGCTGCCTGCAGAAGGAGGCGGCATCGGCGGGCACCTTCCCCCGCGGAGACCTTCCCGGGGGCGTGGAAAGGGCTGGCTGCGCCGCCGCTCCTGCGCCTTTAACACCGAGCGGATAGCCCTCCTTTATGCAGCGCACGAAGATCTTCCGGCTGGATGCGTGAAAGCACAGGGCCGCCTCCTCCAACACGCCCAGTTCACCCAGGAGGCGCCCTGCCACTAAGGCGCAGGAGCTAAATTACACCCCCACCCCCCGCACTTTGCACAATACCAAAGTTTTGCCGTCTCCAGGACTGCTTTCAGTAATGTCCCGGAGATTAATGCGGATTCCTTTCAAGTCCATTTCAGAGATACTCTAAGAAGGGCACATAGCATATGGAATGGTCATCCCTGCTATGCTGAGATGCATCATATATCTATTAATTTATAATCTGTATAATTATTTGGCTCTCCGGAGAATCTGGCATTCTTTTTCTCAGTGATGCAATTCCTCAGTCTGGGTGATGCAAAAGTGGTCACCTTGTTTCAACCGCTGCAGCATCTCCAGCTCCCTCGTCTGGACCTTTGCTGCTAGAATGATTCATCTCTCTTGCACTTCTCCTTAAGTCTGGTGCTGGCCTCGACTCCATTTCTGGATCTCGTATAACCTTCAATTACCTCCCCCACTGCTATTCTCCATTCTTACGTTCCAGCACAGCGTTTGCTTGTCCTCTTTGCTCCTCTTCCATGAAAAAACTACCTTTGAAATGCCCCCAGAAAGCTTCTGGGAAGCCACTTCTTACTTCCTTCAAAGCTTTCTTCAAAAATACCCCTTATCTAAGAAGCCGTGGGCACATTCTATTTCCTATATTCCTAAAATAAATGCATTATGTCCTATTTAGGACTGGCCTTCCTTGCTCTGCTCTTTTCCTCCCATTTTAAATTTATACTGTATGCTCTTTGGGACAGCGAGTTTTTCCTCTTGTACTCTGTGAAGCATCGTATGTGTTGACACCACTACATAAATAGGCGCAACTCTTCTGTTCCTTTCAAAGCCAGGTCTGGTTCCAGACACCAACCACACACACTTCATAAAACTTGCCGCCTTACGGAAAGCACACCTCAGCCCTGTGGGATGTGGCACAGCTGCTTTGCGCATGCCTCCAGAAATACAGTACAGTACAATGAGTCATAAAAATGAAATTTAAAAAGGTTTCCAATAGCAATAAATGGCATGGCTTGGGAGGATGTGTATCTGCGTTGACACTACAGCTGTAATGCAGGCCTGCACGGCTGGGAACCGAGCCAGCTGAATGACCCCCCCCCCCCCGGTTGTGTCTGATGGTCCCCAAAAGATGGAGTAAGGCTCCCATTCAGGCTGCGTTTTGCTTGGCATCTCACAAGTTCCATCCTGGTGTAACTTGCTGCCACCAAGGCAGGTTAGAGGAACTCTTCGTCATTCTTTTGCATCTCTGCACAGAAGCCACACCCGTCCACACTCATGCACAAACAGAGCTGTTCTCTAGTTTTAGACTTGGCTTAAATAGGCAGCCTTTTGCAAGCTTTAGATTTGGCTTAGATAGAAGGCCTTTTGCAGTGTGATTTTGGGGTTGGAGGGAGGACCAGTCCTTCCCAAACTGTCTCACTTTCCCTCTCCCCAGTCACCTGTAAGGTTTCATGGAGTCTAATTGCTTTTGATGGCTAATGGGTGGTCATTACATGGAGCCTACCTGCTTGGGCAGAGACCAAAGAAAAATGTTTTGGAAATTAGGCTTGGAATGCAGCCAATGGAAAAATACCTTTTGCAGCTGGAGCGGGTGGCGTGGCCCTTGGGACCATCCTGGCTGTGTTGGCAGGAATGATGCTTTAAGCTTTTGCCAACGTTCTGTGTGTGAATTTGCAAATGAACAGATATTGCAAAAATGCCATAAAATACAGCACTGTGTCCTCAGCAGGGAGCTGACTATGGAAAAAGCTCCCCTTGAAGATTCCCACCACTCAGGGAAGCGGGGCACACGAAGCTGTATCAATATTTTGAGTAAGTGAATCAGAAATTGAGAAACACATTTGTTCTCTTCCTTTTAAAGCTGTCTTTCCTTCTGCCATTGCAAGTGCTCGCCTGCTTGTTTTTCACTCTCAGTTCTTGCCTTCTGCTTATATATAACGTCGTTTAGCATTCATATAATAATCCTTACAACAGCCCTGAAAGGTATGTGATCTTAGTGCCACAGTGCAGGCTGAAGGAGAACATATGGGGCTCGAGAGAGAATCCGTTGGCAGCTGGCACTTCCATGGCAGTCTATAGAAAAGATGGGTAGCAGGCAGACCTCCAAGCCATTCTCGACTCCAACTCCTGGAAGATGGCTGGGCATGGCTGACGGTCAGGAATGCTGGCGCCGAAGTCCAAATTAACCAGAGATCTATTTTCTGGCCAAGGGATGTTCTGATTCGTAATGTATGAAGCACTATAAAATGATAGTCGAGTCTAACAATGCAATCTTAAGCAAGCTTATTCACAAGTGAATGTCACTGAATTCAATGAAACACAAAGAATTAATGGGACGAGCAAGTAAAGGCTATCAGGGCTGAGAATGAACAGGCAGAAGTTCAACAGGATTCACACATACCTGGCAAGAGGTCCCACTGAATTCATTTGCATGTATTTTGGAGCTGATATGCGTGGGAACAAGCCGTGTTCCACTCATGCGTGTTTACTGACAATGACTTTCCAATGGGGATTACTCCTGAAAGAATGCCTGTCGGAGTGTGGCCTAAAGCACAATCCATGCGTTCCAAAACCTCTGTAAGGCAGTTCTTACCCCTAGTCCAGATTAATAAGAATTAAGGCTAGCAAGGATACGTTTGCATTTGGGATGTCTACAATTCATGCTCTGCACTACATCAGAACTTCATTTTTCCTTACAGTTGAAATTAGATTTTGTAAGATTGGTGCTTATGATTAAGATGGGTTACATTGGCATTAGCTCTTTTGTCTGGAACAGACGTGCTCCCTCAGTTGTATGAAGAATCCAGGCATCACTGCCAAATTGTTGTACACCGGTGCCTTGTTTTGCCCTCCCATCTTTTTAAACATCTACCTTATGGTGACTCTTCAGAATTTATAAGTTTCAGTACCCATTTGTCCAGGGAAACCGCTGAGACTTCTCTCAGGTATTGGCTTGTTCCTCCTTGCCCTAACTTGTAGAGTGACTTCTGATTTTTGGCTACTGGAACTTTAATTAATAGTTTTCTGTTCACTTACAGCCGGTTCATAACTAAGTCACATTATAATGAGTTCCTGGTGTATGCCAGTGGGCCCTCAAAGTACATGTTTCTTTTTGGAGGAAAAGTAATAGAATTTCTTATTCATATTTTGATTTTAAATTATGTCCCGGCTAAAAAATAGGAAACCAAGGAGAAGGAATTAATTAATGCAAGGGGAAATTTAGGAATGCTTGGGCAAAACAGGAAATGACCAATTAAAGGAACAGAAACCTAGAATCTTAAGCCTTTTTAAAAATAAAAGAAGAAATGATCAAACAGCTGGGAAAAAGTGGAACTTTTTGTGAACAGCCCTTCTTTTTAAGTGAATAGAATCAATTCACCTATGAGCAAAGGGTTCCCCCGCTCCACTATATTATGTGCTTGGTGGGAACACTACTTTCTTCCAGCTGAAAACAGAAACTGATTGCTCAGGAGTTCTGAAAGAATAGACTAGATGCAGCCAAGGGAAGGTTTTTTACTAGCCAATTGGAGCAACAAAGTATGCAAAAAAGGAAATGACAAAGACTTTGAAGTTGCTTTTATAATAGCCCCACCTGGTGGCTGCCCTGTATTATGTGTGACACGTCTTTGAGAAAGGGGAAGGGAGAGGAAGCATCGGGTGGCCATCTCTACGCCCGCCTAAGCTCACGACTACAGGTGACGGTGACAGACCCCATCCTCAAACACAGGTGCACCCTAATAATATCAAATAACCAAAGGGGGAATATGCACGTCCTTCCTTCCCTTGCTGCTCTTTTTCCTGCATCCATGTAATTTGATCAGTGCTGCAACTTGTCATCTTTACTGAGTGAGGTTCACACTGAGTGTCAAAAGTCTTTTGGGATAAAAGACTCTGTCCTGCAACAGCGGGGGGTTGGGCTTGATGGCCTTCATG